ATAGAGCAAGAAAAATATCGCTGGAAGACAGCAGATTTTACAGACGCACTGTGCTGATAGACGAAATCTGCCTGTGGTCTATAATAGGTCAAGGTCTTAAGATGCGGAACTCTTGAGTGCCCGTCATGACAGCCGTGGGTGTGGGGACCGTTAACTATGTGGATTAAGGATATTCCTACCTACGCCCCACACTTCCTCATTCAAGATTGAAGATTTGGAGAAGTTCCGAAGCGGAAGTTGAGATCCGATAAGCGCGAATCTCAAGTTGCGGTGCATGAAACCAAGCGAGTTCAGCTTCAAGTTTCAGTATACGTCGGTGATCGCTTGCGGATCTAGTCCAGGGGACGGCAGGTGCGGAGACATGTTGAGCAGACGAGGAGTGGTTAGTAAACAGTAAACATCTAGCAGCTGCCAGCTTGAAACAGAGGGATTGGGTTATAATTGACGTCCAAGTGCCTTGAACCGTTGAGGATCTTAAATATAATCTGGGGTAATGAAGCGATGAAGTGATAAAACGGTGCGAGAAAACGAAAAATTTAAATGGGTTGGGGGCAGATGAAAGACTAGTTCGTGCGTTAGAGGGAGGGTTGTAATGAACAAGGGTGTGTTGGGACCACAACGGGTCCTAAGAAACCCTGGTGAAATCATGATGTTTTGCACACCGGTGCATACGTCAGGAGCATTTCCAGCGGTTGTTGGACGAGTAATTTGTGAATCTGCCAAGATCCAAGAAAACTAATGAGCGCTTTTGGCGGAACAAACCCTGCAATTATATGCTCGTGATCAGCCCATGTGCCCCAAAGTTGAGCTTGAGCATTTCAACAAATTTCATCCCTCACAAATTTCAACAGAAACACATGTCTTGGGTATCCTAGAACCAAGGATACATCGTTGATTACCTCCCCAGCCAGCTAGTCCCCTGCATCGAGGTTGCGCTATTGACATCACCATAATGTCCAGCGTGCAGCGTCTGAGCCAGGCGAGGACGTCGATGCGCGCACCAGCGTCTTTTCCGGTTTCTTGGGCGAGTTGAGAGGTCCAGATGTCACGGAGATGTGCAGTCCCGTCAGTGTATGTGTACCTGCAGGTATACATCGCGAAAGGACGCGACGCGACGCACCTTCACAGCGTTATCGATGAAGATGTGAAGATGTGCGTGAGTAGTTGAATCTGCGCGGCGCCGAAGGCTTTGCTCTGCACGTCGCTCCCTGTTATTGCACAATACGTTGCGAGAGGATATAGGACTCGCGAGAATACACCTCTGTTATGTGGGATGCAGTTAGATTTTTGGACTTTGAATATGAAAGGAGGAATCGCCTAGCGTCGGTGATCTTCCAGTCGTACTGACATCATGCCTGGAAATCCAAGGTCTGCAGGTGAGGCATCTGTGGGTGGGTGGGATCAGTAATTGATATCGGAGGTCTTACGAGCTTTGAAAAACACAGAACAGACCCTTGAGTCGGAACGTAGGCCCAAATTCTTCGCGCCACTTGGTGTTCAAGTTGAGGTCGTTCTGCGACAAGAATTATTGTAAAATTAACAAGAGAATGCGCTGGAGAGTCGGGAACTTACAGCCATATGCCTGACGTTTCGGAACCAGAGGCGGGCGCTCTTGGGGCCCGCGATGTAGCTAAGCGGGCAGGTCCACTAGCGGCAAAGGAATTTTGCGACATAGTACAGGCCGCAGCAGAGAACCGCATTAGCGATGCGGGCGGAGATTGGGGACAGCATGGTCGTGGCAACGAATTTGAAGTTTGAATGTGAACGCCGTCGCGGACCAGTTTTATAACGAGCGACAAGCGTTACAGAGTTGTTACAGAGTGTCACTGAAGCGAAAAAGGCCGAGGTCATTCAATGTGCCAGTGGTAGCCTTGCCTTGGCACGGGGGCAAAAGCATCTGGCCCGGGAATGGTCTAGAACGAGGAGTTTTCGGAATTCGATACGTCAGATGTTGAATCACTGTCGAGTCCAGTCAAGGTCAAAAATCGTGAATGGAGGAAGACGAAGCAGAGTGATAAGCAAGGCTGAAAGGGGATGTCACAGTGACCGTCGTGATAGCTCGGTTCAAGCCTTTGTCGCCAACTCGTGCGTCGACGACGCGTCAAAATTACCACAACATCCAACAACACACGATGCGATTTTATTTCGGGTTATGATCAGTGAGCTCTCTTCAACTGCTGACTTATACGGGTCCCCAAACCGTTTCTGGAAGTGAGAATCTGAGCTCTCAAAAGTCAACACCGTTTTGAAGGGGCACCAGATTTTTTTGCTTGCTGGATCTGCAAACCATTACATCATTAACGACCGCGATCGCTGCAGATATTTTTTTGCGGTTGACCACAACTACTTGAATGCCCGCTGTACTTGTCAGCCGCCTATATCAAAGTCTCTGCGTACAACCACCACCACATACCACTTCTACTTTCTCTGATGGCGCCCTCTACCTCCACCAGTACTATCCCGCCTAATTTAGGTTCCACCGACGAAAGCTGGAAATCTCAACTCGTCTGTCTATTCGGCACTTTCGGCTTCACACTCCTCTACACCTTGTGTTGTTATCTGTACAACCTCGCCGGATGGAGCACCGCAGCAAATTCTGGTGATGTCGGTGCGTCCAACCTAACTAGCAATGTAATTGCGAACTCTCATTCTCGACATCTGCAGACCGCATCCTCTTGTCATACCACAAAGCCGACCGCCATTGATATATTAGACAGGTTGTGCAAAGCCGCACAGAGCCGCATGCGGCTTTTGGGAATTGTGCAAAGCTGCACAATAAACCGAAGGATTTATGATTGGATTCATATTCATTTCGATGAAATATGGGTAATTAGGTGCTAGGCAGTAAATTGAACCACTTACCCAACCTAATTTGCATCACTTTTAATGTCATTATTTGGCTTGGCCACAGCTGCTGTGCGGCTATCGCCGTGATGCCGCTGAAACAGACCATTTTTCACACTTCCTCCTCCCACCTGATGCTGAAATCCACACTGACAGCATTCAAAGCACTGTATGCAAGGTTTGGATACATAGTGGATAGGGAAACAAAAGCCGCACAGTGCCGCATGCGGCTTTGCACAGTGCACAAAAGCCGCATGCGGCTCTGTACGGCTTTGCACAACCTGTCTATTGAAGGAATACCCACCCAACTGATTCGTTTTTTATTTGCATGGCCTTAATACAAACGTGCTTATTGATCGGGAGCACAGCGGAAGGGCATAGAAGAGTTCATTCATTCCAGTCTAATTATTTAGGCATTGCGCAAGCAATAGTACTTTGATCAGAAAGCAAAAGTCTCTCCAATGAGCTTCTCGGTGACGTTCCACAATTTCTCGGCAATCACCTGAGTCGTCCAAATATATTAGGTGGAGAGTTCAGAGACAGAAGAGAACGCACGAGATCGGAGCTGTGTGCAGCGACTTTCTCATTGGCGACCACAGAATTCTCGAGATAGGCACCGGGCTTGTCTGAAGGATGAATTAACCGTTCTTTAAGCAAATGGCTCGCGATTCTTTGAATCTGTTTGGCCCTTTCTCCTTTTGCTCAAATCCATTGGTCTCTTTCAGCTTCTTAGCCTGGCTTTCGTTTCCTCCACTCACACGATCTGTTCGTTCTTTTCCCATCTGACCTATGCGCAGCCTACAAACCGACAGCACATGGACAGCACGCAGCCCGGCGCAGCCCGAATCTACTTGCCGGGAGAGTACGCAAACCAAATATCCGAAGTTGACTCCTCTTTGTCCTGCCCGTTGCATCTTCCTTTCCTCTCCTCTTATCGTCTTCCTTTTTCATTTTTGGATCGAATCTTTCAAACCCCGCCAATCCTCCCTGTTTCGCTTACTGATCTGTTTTGCGACGTGCCGAGAGTCCACGTACGCGTTGAGAGCGATTGATATCAGATGTTTGGACCCATGACCCATTGCCGGCGCTTTTTGTCTGATCCTACCCACACTTGCTGTGCCAGATAAATAGGTCGTCCTTCCGGTGCGCAGCTACCTGTCTTTTCCCTCCTCCCACCACCCAGTGCCCACCCGAGAATGCGCAATATCTATTCTGCAAGATAAGCGCCTCAAAATCGTTCTAACCTTCAAGAAATATGTTCAAGAATCCCAGATCAAGTATACTTTGCAATTAGCAAGCAGCATATGTTCGGAATACGCTCACTCATAATACAAGCTTTCAAGAGTCAAATACCATTCAAATCAAGCGCCGACGCTCTTCTGGTTCCACCACATTGCAAGACTGTTGTTCTTCTCTCAACGCGCTCCCAATTCCCTCATCTTCTGGCCGAACCAGCCTACATGGAGGGTGCCGCAAGACGCGAGACAGTATGTGCCCGACAACTCCCGTGGGTTCTCCTGATATTGTTCATCTTATATTCGATGCTGATGATACGCAGTGATCTGTACCGAATAGTCCAAGCGAACGCGACCACAATGATCTACTATTTTATTGGTATGGGTCAATTCTATTCCATGTGTCCTCCCTCCTGACCTACCTGCTTAGCAATAGTACTATATTTCAGTTCCTCTGAAATTGAACGGTCCCACCCAAGTCTCTGTAAGCATTACTTGAAATCATGGGTACGGCTACTGGTCGGCACTCAGATATTCCAAGCTCGAAAATTTGGACTCAGTTGGAGAAAGCTGTTCATTTTTGCTATCTAGATGTTCCTGACCTTTGACATTGCTGCGCTTGGCCCTGACCATAGTTCCGAGTCATGTTTATTTGATCAGTTTAATAAATTTATTTGTATCCAAAACCTTGAGTTGTGCCGGAGCGAAGCGGCGGCCTGTCTTGTGTACTTCAGTGATCAAGCGTGGAAAAGCGGATGTATGCGCTGGGGAGATTAGATATGGAACGAGCGTGCGACGAATCATAATTCCGAGTCTAGAACGGCAGTTAGAATTCAGACCCGTTTCGGATTGGCATCAGGGATGCTCAAAAGTCTTTGGAAAAAATAGGTATCCCATAAAGAGAAATACGTTTGCACACCACTCGGACGCCGGGAGTCGAACCCGGTCCTCCCACGTAAAATGCTTTTCAGTATCCCCCATAAGCAGCGAGTGTGCACCATGCACTACGTCCGACTTTGAACAATATCAAGGAATAAACGTGGATAAAGACTTTGTAGAGGTACGGACCGAAAGAGGAGCTAGATAATTTAGATAGTTATCTCAATGGGCGTGCGTAGACAACCAACTAAATATATTATGCACCTAAATAATTAAGATAATACTAGGTACTGTCAGTGGGTGACTTCCCATCACCCTCTTTATAAAATTAAGCACTTCTGTCCGTCCGAAGTCTTTTTAAACCCCGCTCATCTCCGCTGATGCCGTATCACCACGGCAACTGGCCGTCCAGTTTCAGAGTCCTCTTTCCCACCGGCACAACACTAGGCAATCCTTCGGCATTGGCGGCATCCAACATCACCCTTCTAAACTTTGCCCTGACGCTAACATTGACAGATGGTTCCCACCATCCCGTAACAAAGGTTGCCGCGGCGAACAAGCAGAACGTGAGAACAGTGCATATAATAAGAACGGAATTTCAAAAAACTCAACTTGGCTCAGCTCAACCAAGTGCGCAGTAAAGACAGTTGAATCGGTGACTACCCGTAACAATAGATAGTTTTTTCAGAATAAAATCGCGTTTCCGGCAGCGATGCCGAGACAGATGTCAGGACCCCATCGGACTTGGATCTGTGATTTTCTGCTTTGGACCCTCTTTCAAACCTTAAAGTAGGATAATCTGTTCGGGGGGTCCGGACCCCCCGAACAGATTATCGCAGTTGTATAGTGCGTCAAATAAACGGATTTGGACAAGATCTCACGAGAACGAGAGCGTCATCGTGGAAAGCCGATTGTTCAGACTTTCGGCACAACATGTTTCGATATGTCGCGTCACAGTCACCACAACTCTCTCCTACTCTCTTCGCTCTAATGCGATACCTGGGCATCATGTTTGCTATCCAGCACTCTGGGTTCTTTACAACCATCAACCGATCCTCGAGACTACACTTAAAATCCACCATGCATCCAGCGATGGCAACTACGGATCCGGCAAGTTGCTGATCCATGTCAATTTGGTTGTCGTCCATGTCCTGTAACTGCCGATACCAAAAAAATGTGTTGAAATCCATTGTGAAGAGGGCAGAGACGTGGTTGATGAAAGCAGGACACATTGTTATTGACTGTTTGTTGACTGATGCGTCGTGCCATAATACTCTAGGATTTATTCAACAGATAGTCTTGCGGGAACCAGCATGAGTAAATTTAACGATGGATCTGGGTATGCTGACATCGCTGGCACCCCTCAGATAATCTCCAGAAAGTATCTATCGTTAAGGGAAGTCACCCAATATCAATAAAGACAGTTGAATATCAATTCAACACCACCGTCATTTCAAAGAAACCAAGTAAGAATTTTGCAAAGGGGATGGGAGGCTGCGAAGCGGCCGACCAGCCCCTTGTAAGGATTAAAATATGCTTGCAGATTATTGAGCGGTGCCAACGCTGACGGCATATAGCATTTATTCCCAAAATTTAATCGTTCACGGTTCCCATAAGCGTATCCGAGGTTAGATCATTAGATGAATATATTTCGTGGCGCCAATGCGGCATCACGGCAACAAGGGTTTGCAATCATTGTCTTTGCCAAATATCACCCAATAACACTTCCCATCCAACGTGATCCAGCTTCCGCCTCGATGGACATTGACGCATTTATTTGTCATCAGCAGCTCAATAGGATCAAGGAAGACGAACTGGATGCCTTTTGGGAGCCGCAACGGCAATAATTGCATTGGTCGATGCAGACAAACACCCGGCGCTCGGGTGATCCACTGCTGAGGCATTGGATCGGAAGAGAAGATCGGCTGTTAAGCTGAACAGAGTTTCCAGGCGACAGGGCTCGGTGGCGAGGTCGGCAAGAGGACGTGGAGAGCAAAGACCAATTATGATGGTGGTCACCAGTGTGACATGCAGCCCAATCGGGCGAAGCGGGAAGCGGAGAGTCGGTGAATCCGTTTATTCACCAAGTTTTGTGTCTATGAAAATCTTTAGGGGGGTAGGGACCCCCCTACAGATTAGAATTAAAACAAGCTTTATAAGAGGGTCGGAAGTGGATAATCCCAGATCCACGTCGCTGCTAACATGTGCAAACAGACACGTCGCGTCGCCAGCGCTGTGAACAGGTTCGTGAAGGGACGGCGGGACTAAGTCTATGCTATGGCGTTGCGTACCATGGAATGGTGGCTGTGTGCGAAAAAAAAAATGCCCCAAAAAATCTGAAAGACTTCAGGGAGGTAGATGTGACCCGCTCAACTATCTTTGTAAAAATTCGCACACAGCCACCTGTGGCTAGGCTACCACCATCACCTTGCTCAGCCACCATTCCGTGGTACGCAACGCCATAGCATAGAGGTCGGGCAAGCTTAAACTCGCTCAGGCTGAGGCCAAAGTATAACATCCTGTTATGTACGACGATCTGCTATTCACATTGCGTTCTAGTCCAGTTCCTCGGGCCATTTTCATGCGCGCAAAGCCGATGCTGGCTCAACAACGAACGTACCCACCCCACCTGATGATATTCCCACGCCTGCTTTGGGTGTTACGCCGGTGTTAAACACCCCCACGTCCGCCAAATTCCCCCACGCATCTCCCGCGTCGGGTTCTGACAGCGCGTTAGACAGCGCGTTAGACAGCGCGTTAGATCTCGCCGGCACGAGTCGTGCTTTCACACGCAAACACATTCAAGCAGAGTCGTCTGCCATGCCTTCCATCTCTTCCAACAAATGTCGGAAGAAGCTTGAGAATCCACTGGAAGGGTGGGTGATGCAAGATCCTGACACTGGCAAGGAGCTCACCGGGAAAGAGTGGGTGGAACGGTTCCCGGAGGAGTTTGAAAAAGCGCTACAAGGACCACCAGCTACCTTGATTACCTCGCGCAGTCAGCATTAGATCCGTAGATTGAATATTTGTACATATGCGCAGAATTGAACTATCTTATAGTTCCCTGACGACTCCGCGAGTTTTGGTCCCAGTTCTGTTCAGAACTGCAACACTCACGGCCGCCAAATATCAATTTTGCGCGACAATGTCTTGTCGCAGCATGGCCGCTGAATACTTTTAGGTCCATCTGTATCGTATCTAAGCATTAGGCCACATCTGAGCCCCAGTGAAAAGTCGGTGGGATTGAACGAGTTAGAATGGGCAAAAAGAAGCTGTAGCCATACCTTCCCAAGTAAACCCAATTGATTGCATGAATGACACAAAATAACGGGATAGAATTGGAGAGTTTGGGAAGAAACGAGATGCAGGCAAATATGACCCATATCATCCCAATTGATCCAGCCGGTTGACGCATCGATCTCGGGAATTGATTGGGTTAAAATGGGATGGATTCCAGTTCGGTTTGAAAGCATCCCACTATATATCGTTCATTGGCTCATCCAGCCACTCATATCGAGCAAAAAAGTGATTGAATTGACGGATACGACTGCAAGTACTAAATATCCAATCCATTCCTGCTGCCCTCCACGCCTTCCACCGGGTACCTAGTTGAGAATCTCTTGAATGCGCTTCTGGATTTCATCAACGGCAGGTCGTTGTTTCCCTTTTGGGAAAATAAATAAGTAAGGGCCGAAAACGATGGAATGGAAGAGAACTTATGAGCTCTTTTGAGTAAGTGTTGTACACCTAAGACAGCTCAAATAGGATTAAAGAATATAGAAGAAAAGCAGCTCGTTACCTTGAGCAACGCCGATGGAGGTTTCTCATCTGCAAGTGCCTTCCAATGCAGAGCAAATTCTGGTGTTGTTCCACCAAAATCGACGGCGTAAACTGCGAGGCAAAGATTGCTAAAATAATGTAAGTAATAAGTAATGATCGAACGGGAGGGGAGAGCAGGACGAACCGAGTGGTCGTGTGGGTGGTGTGCGTCTTGGTGGGGCCCGGCCTTTTCTTTGTCTTCGCTGTCTGCTTGGGCTGTGGCGGCGATGGCGGCACAAGCGATCCTGGAGGCAGGGGGGGGGGGGGGGTGGGACAACCACATTTGCACTGTGGACACGTTAGATAACACATGGAACATGTGCACGCAACGCGCCCGATGTTCTCAGCCAAATTTGTTGTTGGCTTGCAGTGGCAGCGGGGGTGGCGTGATCAATCCCGGAGGTGGCAGCGGTGGCGGCGCAAGCGATCCTGGAGGCGGGGGCAGTGACGGTCTGAGCGATCCCGGAGGTGGCGGCGCGAACAGATGAGGAAGAAGAGGACCAGTGTCAGGGGAACCCCCGTTTCCAACCCCCGATCCTCCGATCGATCCTCCGATCCGACCCCCGGATCCTCCGATCCGACCCCCGGTCAGACCTCCGCTATCCCCCGACGTTCCCCCGCCGAGCCAAACCCCATCTGGACGGATCCCCGCACTCCGCATGGCACTCCGCATGTGATCGTGCCCGGGATCACTGCCGTTCACTACGCCATCAACAAACCATGCGCAACCCGTAGTTAGCCCTAGCTGGTATATAGGCACGCACCTGGCCGGGGAATCCTTAGACTTTCTCCTCTTCGGATCCCCCCTGCCAGGTGCGCTTCTTCCTGTAGTAGTGTACTTCAATTGACTTCGGATCCCCCCTGCCAGGACTCTTGAGATATTTCGGGCCGCCAGGGTTGCCCTTACAGCAGGAGAAAGTCTCTAAGGGATTAACCGGTCAAGATTGCGAAGTTCGGCTTGGATAGCGACGATTCGGAAGACGATCTTCCGCAACCTCCGGATCCTCCGCAACCTCCGAATTCGAATCTTGCCCCCTCCTCCCCGTCCTCCGAAGCCGACATGGCCGATCCTACTTCCGCGACTTCCGCCGACATGGACCGCCTGTCCCGCATCGAAGAGACCGTCGCGCGCCTCGCAGCGCTAATTGAAAACACCGCACAATCTTCCTTTCCTGCCCCGGCCCCTTCCGATCCGGATCCGGTCGGAGGTCCAGGTCTTTTCGCAAACCTCAGCCCAGCCTCAAAATTGGTCCTCCGACCGAACCCTCCGTTTGTCTTCGACGGCGATCGCACGCAAGGTCGGGCCTTCCTACACG